CAACATGACAAATCTGTCCGCTTGCCTCCGTTTTACGATATCTTCATGGAACATAGCGCAAAAAATTTGCGTCCCCAGTTCATCCTTGTCATGCTGAAACAAGACCACTTACCAGAAGTGAGGGCGATCGCTGAGGTTCCCAAGATGGAGATCGTTCTTTTGAGCCTTTGAAGTTTAGGGAACGACGAACCTAAAATTTGCCGATTGCAAGCAATTTCACCATATTATATTTGTGCATCAGCAGCTTTGCAGCTTCTAAAATGAAATTATCGCTAAATTGCAATTTCATGCCTACCAATTTCTGTTCACTGAAATATTTTGTTGGATTTGAATTGAAAATTAAATATGCTTAAAGTTTTTAGACGCAGACATTCAGCGGCCATGTAGTAAACAATTTATTCCGCAAATGTTAATCAACCGAAAAGTGACTATTTGTAAGCGTTATTTTGTTGTGAATGCTATAGTTTTAAAAACAAATATGATTATTAATTCTTATCTAAGTTCTTTGAATTCAGGCAAAATGTTAGTGAGTGACAAATTTTAAATCCATTACTTATTTATGAGAACAAAAAATGTTACTTCAGAGCAAAAACTAAGTGCTGATGCATATGACCGCGGACGGTGCCTTTCTTGTTATATCCTCGAAATAAAAATTTCAAAACTTACTGCAGTCCCCTTACCACCACCAACGAGGATAGACCTTTCTTCAGCTAAAACATAAAATTAAACGAATCTGGGATTTTTGCGTTACAGGCAAAGCTAATGTTTGTTCGACTACCAAGATTGGAACTTTCTCTAGAGACAATTTTCTTTTCTGTCAGAGTAGTATCCAAGTCCAAACCTCCGTCGATGGAGATATTGCAAGTAGTCTTTTGTAGGCCGCCCTTGAACTCACTGTAAAAAATGAAGTGATTAAAAGCTACTCAAAAAAGGAAATTTCGGTTAACAATATTCCATAATTAATTAACATGATAGGCCGAGGGTTTACTAATGTGCAGGAGGATTCCTTTAGAAACCACAAAAATATGAACACAATATTCAAGCTCACCCTCCACCCGTACCACTGCCACCACTATGATCCTTCGAGAACCAGTCAAGACTCTCCTCAAGATCACCCCAGCCCACCCCCGACCTATCCCGTGCCGCCGGAGCCGTCCGTGGTCGCGAGTTTGTATCTTTGTCGTTGTTATCAGCTTCACCGTCCCGTTTTACCCTCTCATTCACATTGGGTAGGTCCGGAGCATTGTCGCCTTGCTGAAAAAAAAAATTAAGCAAACCTCGAACTACCCATTTGGTTATTAAAAATGCAATTTTTTATCAACTATTTTAAGTGTTAGTGGCACCTTTTGTTATCTGTTACCATGAGAAGTAGAATGATTGTTCAGTAGCTGAGGAGGAAGATATCCCAACTTGACAAATATAATGTGGTGGATATGCAATTAAAGTACTGCTTTTCAGCTAGTGGTTAAATGAACAGGATCGACGTTACCTGTAACAGGCGTCCATCCTCATCCAGTTTTACAAGTACGGTGTGTCTTGTCGAATGTAGTTGAAATCTACATCTATACCACTGAGTATACTCGTTTATTTATTTAACTCTCGGTTTCGGAAAAGGGGCCACTCAGGTGTTCTGCCATTGTACCCTCGCTTGGTGAGCTGGCATATGGGCCATGTCAGTAGCCCCAAGTCCTACTGGAAGTCTCAGGACGCTGCACTGGTGGCAACGTAAAACGAACCCACTTATAAAGGACATGTGTTCCAATTTCTACTGCTGGGTGGTAAACCTTAGTGGGGCGGAAGAGGTGCGTATGCTGCAAATGGGAGAACCTATGACGACCCCTAACAGAGGGGCTGAAAATGGCGACACTAGCCGTGAACCGCGTAGAAAGTTTAGTTAAGGAGCTGCTTACCGTACCTGTACGAAGATAGCAAATATGCGAAAACGTGATACCTCCTCCACTTCTTAACCAGCTAGAGAGAACCCAGATAGGAATAGCTGGATAGCACTAAAGTGATAATAATGTGGCAAGGGGACATGAAAGTGAAACCCTATCCCCACGGACCTATGTTAACACCCTTCCCCTTTTACATGACCCTACTTATAGGCCCAGTGTTCCTACGACTAGCTGTTGACACGCGTGAAGATTAACACATTCCTCCGTTCCCGAATCCAAGTCTCGTACAGGATGAAACTTCAGATCCGGTAGAATTGTCAAGAGTGATCAATGATGTTGAGGACAAATATCTTTTCAGTTGCATGAAAATTCGCTAAATCGTGCGGTTGGTCCATGGGTGTTTCCCTTACAGCACAGATTACGTTGTGATGGCTGACGCGGGAGGCTAACTAAGGGGAGCGCCTGAGACGACGCTCAAAATACAAGAGGGTCTATGCAATAGGTTGGTTATTTGTTTACTTCTTGATTTTGGTAAAGGAGCCACTTAGGTGCTCCTGCACCGCACCTTTGCCGGGCAGCCTGGCATTCGAGCCGTGCCAGTACCCACAAGCCCCACTGGAAGTCTCTGGGCTTTACAGCTACTACTAAAATAGGCAATCCTATGAACTAAGAGTTAGCGAACTATCTTAAAATAAGGCAAAGCGATTTGTTGTTTGATTGTTAATAAAGAAATGCCTTGAGTGTAAATCTTGTCAAAGACTTAAATTATTAAAATGCATTACAGAGCTGTTTAAAATAAAAAAATGAGAGAAGCCATCCATTTTTTTTCAAAAAAGCAAGTACAAATTTATTCAAACATCACAAGAAGATTCCATCACACTGAAATTTTAGATAAAAGTAGACGAATCCTTGTAGTAACTTGCTTTTACCTTTGGACACCTGTAAAAGGCATATTCCATAGCGGAGAACCGTGTCGACCTCTTAAAGCAATATCTTTTATTGTTCTATAGACCTTTTTTAAAGTTTTCCTATAAAATATCAGATAAAATAAACCTGAGGGATGTGATTTAAGCCTGATCACCGCTTTGCAAACTAAGTTTGACTCGGCTCCAAAGATGAGACCGCAACAGCTTCCCGTATAGCTTCATTTATAGCATTTGGAAAGGGTGAGGTAAACACTTTATTCATCCATTCTTTCACTTTATAAAAACGTCCCATTTGTTTGCCGACCGATTTATGGTAAAAAATGGTTTTGTATTACGATGGTCATTAAGCGGAAAAATATACCATCGTTTATTTTCCATTACACATCTCCAAGGAAATCATCATTTCATCTCCGAAAGACTGTCTATACTTTGGCTGTGATGCACCGTAGACGCACCAGAACGTAATGAATTTCTTGATGAAGGCCATACGGGAATTACGGCCAAAACCCACTTACTCGATGTTTTAAGAGATGAAAGATTTCATAAATGAGTATTCTCAACATTGTCTCATTGGTAACGAATTTTAATGCAGCTTTTCAGGGCAAATTTCCAACGATTAAAAGAATTTTGTGAAGCCTTCTGCAGTTATTTACCCTATATTTAGAAAAATTGTTCAGGCCCACTTGATTGGCCCACGCTTTCACTCTTTGATCCGCATTTGTCTGGAAATTATTAACGGCAAGGAGCTGCGCTTTAGGTTCCCTTCCTCTCATAGTTTACTGTTTTACTGACGTGGTAGAAAGACCAAAAAATCCGCAAAAAATCCCACTGCTTTATTACTTGTTGAGGGGAGAAAGCGTTGATGTTTTTTCATCAACATTATTCCAGTTTATTCAAAAAAAGGTATTCGTCAGCTTGTAGTTTGTTAGTTGCTACTTTTAGGATGTTATTAGTAGCATTATCCCTAGCCATGAACTATTCTTACTCTGAATGTTCTGCAGAATTTTTAATAGATCTCAAAATGATTACAAAAGGAAAACGTGCGTGCTTTATCAAGTTTGACATTTTAAATTATAAAATATAGGTGCGTCTATGTTAATTTTCACTTAGTGAATAGTATTATTGCATGGAGATTTACACGTAGGGAGAGCCGTGGTGTGCCCACCTCCATATTTAAAAATGTTCCTCTCAAATACTTTAAATTTAGCGAAGTCTTGGAAGCGCAAAAGCGCTCTGCGTTGAAATTTCAACGACGACTTTATTAGATGTGGTTTTTAGTGGAAAATATATAGATTTAGGGACATATTTTATTTTCGATGTGCTTTCACATATTTTTCAAATGTTGGATTTCAGTAAGCAATGTTTAGCCTTAATTGAAAGCAGCTATTGAATAATGTGGCAATAAAAATGATTCTATCCTAGTGAATGGATGCTTCGGGTATCGTTACCGGTTTTTCCGAAAACCGCACAGAGCGTCGAGAAGTGGCCGCCGTGGGTGCGGCCTTAACCTCAAAGGAGCTGTCCAGGTTAACCTCCATCCCGGTAGCCGCACCATTCACATCTTCAGGGCTCAGTAAGGAATCAAGAAGGCTCCGTCGGGCGCTAGATGAGGCCGCGACACCACTCCTCTTCTGCACACCACGCATGGCGGAAGTAGTGGTGGACGAAGTGTTGGACGACTCGTTCAACGACGAGGCGCCCAGAGATTTCGCTTCAACAGACAACTTTAAAGAATCTGAAGCAGAAATAAAATTTTGTCAAACCTATTACGAAAACGCATCGATGGTGACGGCAAACATTTGGTACAATAGTGATATGACTCAATATTACTCAGTCATTGACTTTTTCAGCACTTGTACTTCCATGTTGAAGATATGAACTGGTGACTACGCCCTACAATCTCTCCAAGTATAACATGAATTTTAGAATGCTTCATCTATTTACAATTAACGATGATGTTTGCTTCAGCAATCAAGTTCAAAAACCTCTTAGGAAATTCATAAATTAATTAATCACATAAATTTTAGGAAGATTTTAGGAATCAGCCGCTTACAACTGATATGAATATTAAGACTATACGCTTGCAGAACATTTTACAAGAAAATCAAAACCTTACAAAAGATTTTTAATGAATCTTACTTCTCTATTTTGGTCAGATTTTGGAAATGAGCTATAAAACAATTGAAAAATATAGAAAGAGGCGAAGTGTTTAAACGGTGGCTGGATCGCTTTATACAGGCTCTACCAATCGACGTCGTTATTAACATGCAATTGTACAAAAATTTGACGAAGAATCACGAATCCCCCAAAAGGACCTTAAAATTAGGTCACAGTTATAGTGTTTGACAAATTCAAACAAAGGGGACAATAGGGTGTCTCTAAACAATAACGATTAGTCGGAAATTCAGCGTCATTGTTAGGCATGGTCGAAATCATACACCAAAAAAAAGGTCTTATGGAGATTTTTGATATATTTTAGTTTTAATATATCAATAAGGACATTGAAAATGTCGCCAAGCTTTGGAAGTGATTAAATTCACTCGTTTGAACTTTTAAAAATGAAAACATACCATGATTAGGAGCAAACGCTTCTTCAGAATATGTTATCATGCAAATTTTAGTTAAACAAGCCCAGTTTTGAAGAATAGAGTCATGTAAAACAAAATCTAACTTTAGAACTTCGCATCATTTACATAAATATCAAATTTCACTTGATAAAATTTTACGTTTTCAAACAAGGGTGAAAAAGATATGGTTCATAGGCAAAATTCTGCAAATTACCCAAGCTTGTCTCCAACGTAGAGCTAGCTGCCGCGGTCCCTGTTTTAGAACTGCCCTTTTCATTAAAATCAAATCCATCCAAAAGGTCGTCCAAATCGGCCCCCTTGTCAAGGAAGCCGCCTGGTTTACCCTTAAAGTCGGAGTTATAAAGCATTCAATATTACTGGTGCAAGATTCCAATCATCGTCTGCTTCTGCAGCTATTTGGCTGTAAAATGAATCCATTTTCTAAAAAAAATTGTATCTAAATTCACCAAATTTTGCCCAAAATATCTGATTGCTCAGTTTTAAGCGAAATGTAAACTTGTTCATACGAATCCCATTTAACCTGTTAGCGTAACTATAGTAGAGCTTTTTATTGTACAAACAGTACAAACACACCGACAAAAACATGTTTGAAAAATGGCTTAAAGTTAAGAAGCAAATGCTTAAGTAAAATAGTCCATTCAAACTTCAAAGTTTCCATTCACCAAATTGTAGTAAATATGCATTTAAATTTTTAAGCGATAAGGAGGTACACAATTACGCAACCGTCATTAGGTCAAGATGCTAAACAAGACCCAAAGCGGGTTTACAGCGAGGCAAGTCGAGGTAGATATTTCCCCACAAGCTGGGAAAAACGCTAGTTACTGTACAATCAAGAAGTAAAATCCTACAAGATTTACTAAAGTGCTTGCGTGACCACCGAAATAAAGCTTAAAATTTAAAAATAAAGCGCTGCACAAAGAAAAATAGACCCCACATAACCCTTCGATTTCAATTGTCCAGTCCGGCATATAAATGCTGGCTACAGACGCATGTTAGCCCACAACATCATACACTCATAAGCCTTAAAGTCTTTAATTAATTTTAGTGTCTTAGGGTCCATGTATAGCAAAAATCAGATTTGAAGGCGCATTTTTTTATAGGTGGACTGAGCGCGTTACCACAACTAACAAAATACGAAGGACGCCGCGTTATTCAAGGTCACATATTTTGAAAACTGGAAACCTAAACAAAATGCAATTGACCAGCATTTACTGCTTAAATAGTAATATTAAAAAGCAGAAGTTTATTCAATAAAATGTCCTAAAAGAATTCTGTCGCGCCAAAGTGGTGGCAGCAACGTACAGTGTGTAATAAATTTTTGTAAAAAAAACAATGACTTGAGTTTTCATAATTTTACTTTTAGTTGTTAAAAGTTTGAAAATTAATGTAATGCTTTGATTATGTAATCAACCGTCTGTTTTGACTACGTGTGTGCATAAATCTCTGCCATTATACTTACGGTGAGCGGCGTGGCCCTCTGGCCCCTCTGAGTAATGGCAATGCATGTTCTGTCCTAGTGTTGTAATTTCGTTAGACTTCTAGAAAAACACGAAACTCTACTCTTAGGAAGGTTTACTTTTCACGAATTCAATGGTATAGTTGAGATCACACATTTCGGAATGATAATTTTGGGGCTCTTGATGCCTTTATGCGGATAAAATGGGTTACACTACCTTTCAGACAACATGTTGCTGATGTGTCAATGGGCTGATAGGCTAGTGGCTTGGCTTTGAGGCTATACCCCCCCATCTGAAGTACAATGGATGAGTCCAATAAACCAACATAATCAAAAGGCCGATTTGTGAATCAGCAACCCAAGTATTACCTTTTTAGTATGCGCCCGTGTATGCAATGGCAAATACTTCGTTTGACCGTACGCCCAACTACGAGAGGCTTCAGTCTCCCAAGTTGTAATTCCACGCCCACCCCCCCCCTCCCACGCAACATGGCCTTAGTGTAGGGCGAGACTCACAGGTCTCCTCTTCTCTGTTCCTAGCGCTCTTAGAACAACCTGGTGGATTTATTTCAACATATTCATTAGAGGGAAATGGATCAGATGAAAAAATACGAAGTTTAGAGACGGGAAAAAACGTAATCGCACTTAGGCAGGGAAGACGACGACACAGTCACCAGATTAGGATTACAAACTTGTCTCCTCTCTAAAAAGTGCATTGGAACAGAATAAGTATTGCACTTGGAGCTATTTCAACAGTTTTCGAGGCTTTTTCCACTTTGGTACCACAAGTTCTTTTACATTGAAGCGAAAATTGAAAACACCTTGCCAAGTTTTAAAACCAAGAGGTTGAACAACCCAAGTGCTTCTTACGTGATAACAAACTCATTCTTGGATTGGACCTGTGTCCATCAAAAGTGTAAGCCCAATTTTGAAATTGAGTCATGCCATTTTTAGAACGTGTTTGTTGACCAATACCGAGTTTAGAGCATTTGTTTAAGTAAAGATGCGACAGATTCAATGTTCGACTCTCTTTACCTGGCCTTCATCTTCTGAGAACGAACAGTCTGGTTAGGTAGAGGTATTATTTATTTGTAAAATTATGAACGGGAATAGTGATCAGAGTCACGCATGTTCACAGCAAAATCCTCACTAGGGACTCAAAGGTATGTTTAGACAAGCATATTTCACTAATATTTGCGTAAGTGAGGTATAAAAACATGCTAAGGCCCTGAGTTCCTTGAGACGTAATTTGCTTAATTTTATCGCCTTGTGAAATTTTTTAAGCCTTTTTATTACATATTCTGCATCAAGTTCACATGGCTCTGATTTCTAGCATTGGCTTAGCAACTACATTTCTATTTTATCCTGCCATTTGCGCTAGCCTACGAGTTCACTGCTGGCACGCTGTCTGGTTTTTGGTGTGCTCCTAGGTTTAGTCAGTTCTTTAGCACGTCGATTTCCTTACTTAAGCTGCTTATGTTGCAGCTATTATTACCTGATACGCTTTACATTGCCAAATCCAGGTGCAGCTCACATTTTATATCATGGTCTTGGTCATGAATATGTTGCTTTCGTCCCCTTTTTTGTCTTATTGCTCCCCAATACTTTCCTTACCATCTTTTAATTAACAGATGTCAGAATCAAATGTGCACCGCCTACATATAGCTTGCGGTTCCTATGATGGAACTGTTTTCGCCATGTCCTACGAGCACTCGGGCATCCATGAGACAGGTCCCACCCGACTTAAGGCCGAGTTCATCGACCCAGAGGCCCATTCCGCCCCAGTTACCGCGCTGGCTATCTACGATAACACTGTAGCCTCAGGGAGTGCTGATGAGGCTATTCAAGTTAGTACTTTCTGCGGCCCTCTTCTTTAATTAATGTTCTTCCCTTCTCATCTATTCTACTTTGTCTAAATTAAAGTTATATTCAACTTTTACTGTTTTAGGTATTGATAACTGTCTGATGGATGGCTTTTATGGGTGCTCTGATCCCGTAAATAACCAATCCTGAATTCATGTAATAACTGCACGCTAAATATGTTAATCGCATTTGTTTTGGAGTTACATTATTGCAAAACAGTCTTCTATAGGCGAACTTCACTCAGTTTTTGCGGTCGTTAGGGTGTCTTCACTAATCAGGATGCCTTCTAAGCATATTAAATAAAATATAAGAAGCCTCTAGTCAAATCTTATTAGAAAATCGTGAATGCAATCTTGTGTAGATTTAGCGACGAATCCATTGGTTAGTTTACAGTTTGTACCCTATCACTTGTGTTTTTTTTCAACCGTCATTGATGAAAGCTCGTTAGCAATTTTGTTCTGATGATTATTACAGAGGTGTCTCTTTGCGATCGCCAGAGGTAGGCATTCCTTCGGATTTTGTACCGTTTCGTTGTCTGGCATTATGTTGTCAATATGTTTTAAAACATGGTGTTTTAGCGCATCTAACCAATGTTTTAATGAATAAAAATGTGACTCGCAATAAATAAGTCTTCATCTTTACGGTAGCCATGGGCTAAATTAGTCATTCTTATTCAAAATACCCTTTTAGATTTTACTATCAGTCCATAGTCTACCTTACTTAACATTTTAGTCCGATTGATTTACTGTGACGAGTGGCGCCACGGACCACGTGCCTTGACCCTGCTGTTCCATGATTGGGAGTCACCTCGCTATTTAAACACAGTAGGATATCGTTCCTCAGAGTTTGATCGAGTTCAAATGTTGTGTTGAATTCCATGCTATTACATTTGTTTTTTTATGCATCTTGAGTTCTGTAGACTTATCTATTCTGTGTATTCTGGGGCGTATTGTTGGAGTCCATCCGCCTAATGTTGCGTTGCCCAATTATCAAACGTCCGAAGCTGCCATTGTGGTAATATGCCTACATCAAACATTACTCAAATGTATCACAATAAATACAAACTTTTACTATCTCAACATTAATTTCTTTTACGATTTTTGATAATAGAATTGTTGCGAAAGGCAGTAGACGTATTGACACCGATTGGTCTATCATCATCCTAGTACCAATGCTTCAGAAAATGCTTCGTTGTCTCTTTTGCCACCATAATCTCATATTGCTATTTAGTTCCTTAGTCCTCTGTTCTCTTCTAGCTCTTCTCGCTGTCTCGCCACATCAGGATGGGTTGCCTAGAGCTGCATACCGGCAGTGTTCGTCACCTCGTCTTCGCAGACTCGCGTCACCTCTTGAGCGCGGGAGAGGATGCCTGTCTGGGAGTGTGGCGTCGCAGCGGCGGCCGTGATCGGGGCGCTAGCGCGTGGCAATGCATTCGTCAGATGCGACGTCATAAGGCTCCCATAATCTCTATCCTCCTCCACCCCTCTTTACTTCTCGCCTTCAGCCTGGCCGATGGCGAGGGTGACCACACTTTTCGTATATGGAGCCTGACCCACGGCCGTCAGGCTTATACCACTCGTCTGCGCGCACTCAACGCCGAAGGCGCCACTGCGCTGGCTGCAGTTGTAGTTCCGGAGCCGCCTCGCCATCACCACCACCTTCTCCTCCTCTTCGTCACTCCTCCATCCTCCACTCACTCCCACCGTCTTGACTTTATTGACCTCACGCAGGTTAGACAGAAGGCCCTCTTTAGCGCTAGGTTTCCCACTCTTCTCTCCGTGTCTCCGGTCGTTTTTCATGTGGAGGAGGCTTGTCTCTACCTTCTAGCAGGCATTGGTAATGCGCTCAACGCATACCGATGCCACCTTACAGAGAATAAGATGGAGTTGGTGGCAAAGACAAAAGTCCCAGGAAAGAGATTCAAGTTCCTCAAAGCGTTACCATGGCCGGATGAGTTGGTGAAAGCGGAACCGGAGGTGTATGGAGGGCGAAGGCGACTGGTAGTCCTTGTCACTACCGATATGGATGGCTCATATGTGCGAGGATATGCGGTTGACCTGGAAGCCACTTCCACGACAGCAGCTGAGGATACTGTTCCATCGTTAGCATTACGTCCTGTCTTCACCTACGATATTCATGCCATTCGGCTTACTCAGGTGGACGCTGCGTGGACATCTGGTGTTGGTGAAGTTACAGAGGAGGAGGTAGATCATACTGTATCTGCTGAAGGTGCTGAGGGGATGGAAATTTCTGATGACGAAGGTGAAAGCGGTTCGGAGGAAGAAGAAGATTTAGGAGACAAGGAGGACGGTAATGTCTGAGAATTGTGTTAATATATGAGATACCTCTTTATCGTCGTTTTTTTTCTGCTGCAACTTCACTGGGATAGATGCTGTTATTTGGTGGTCTTGGGGTTTGGGTCATACTTTTAGTGATGTCTTCATTCAATTGCTAGTATTTTGGTTGCATTACAATTCATTCTGTAGTTGAAAATATCAGTTCTGTCGGAGTTAAGTTCCCAACTTCTGGGTCGTGCATACGTCAACCAAATTTGCTTAAGATTTTGGTTGCGAACTCAGAGTTAACATTGCGTGAGTGGTTCGTCCGTTAAACGCCGCCATGCCTCTCGAGGTCATTCCTTCGTTTAAGGTGCTGAAGTCTGGCTGCAGGTCGGAACAGTCGCTCAGATGCTACTTCCACACCTCCAGCCTAGCCTTTTGTAACTTCCAAAAGCTGTCTTTTGAGTAGCAATAAATTTGCGTTCAATTGTACCATTTGATATCTACCCTAGTTAATCAGAATTCTGACGCATCATCGGTACATTTAAAGTCTGAGATCATTGTGATGCTAAAACCTGTGTTTGTCTCTCTGCACGCTGCGCCATCCATTTATTTTCATTATTTAATGCCTGAGGGCTGATTGTCATAGACACAAGGATTCACCTTTGAACTGGCCTATGGGGATCTTTTAAGGCCCCGTCGATTCAGTCTCATGTTACCTACCTACTAATCGTCTAGACCTTTTGCACGTTGGTGGCAAATCTGCTTTCGAGTTCAGTAGTATCTCAAGTACCGTATAACCATTCATCCTACTCTTCTCCGATAAACTCCCAGCTTCGATGCTCGAAAAGCTTATCAAGCACGTCATTGATGCAGCGAATCTGAGCATAATGCCCACAATATTCGAAGCTGTGCTGTATGGAAAAGACCTAAGTAAAGGGGTTTGTGGAACGCCTACCTGACGAAGGTTGCTAACAGTTGCTCTAACCGTGAGTGATGCGCGGTCGTCTATTCTTCCACGCCTAATAGCTATTTACATATTAAAAGGAGAGTTAACCTACTATTCTAATTCGTCTTATCAACTTGATCACTATTGTGATAACCACGCTGCGGTCATGTTGACATTCAAAAAGGCTTCCATCGCAGTGACAGTAAGTGGCATTGACACTGTAGTCGTTGTAAAACCTTTTATTGATAGGTATTATTTAATGCCTATGTAAGCACGATTTTAGAGCGTCAAAATGAATATCGTTTGGGGTATTTTAACCAGCTGACCTTGTTTTCAAAATGTTGTTGACAAATAAATCCCGAATATTTTCGCAACCTGATCACCCCATCATCTGCTTCTCTCATGCCAGCAAAGCCATACGTTTACTGAATTAATTTAAGTAGCAAGTTGTCTGAAGCATGTGTTAGTCTGATTTCACAGTTGGGCAAATTAAAACACACAGGGGGCATTTTGACATTGTGGCCGTGATTTTATCAACATGCAGACATGTGCGTTTTTTGCGAACTTCCGGATTTAAACTAATTTTAGGTTACTTACAGCCTAGTTTACCTTCTTCCATATTCACACTTTTAATCCGGGTCTATCTTTGGGGTAATTCGTACGTTTTTTACCATCGTCACGTATATGCGTCACCCAGATTTTCTCACCTGGGTCCGGTGTTACGTATGTGGCATATCAGGTCATAATAACTGATTACAACAAAACCCTTCCCCGACAGTTTGGTTTATACTACATAAAGCTGATGTAGGATATTCTAAATGTGTAGATAATTGTACTTTATTTTGCTTTAAAGAGACAACTGATGTTTAAAATTAAATGGTATTCATTATTATATTAGAATAATCAACGAATTCTCGTCTTATCACAAATTAACGTGGGTATTTAATACCTGTGCGGAAGGGTGCATCAAATGGTCTTATTGTGTTATATCGAAATGTTGATCTGATAGGTTGTGTAATACATTGGCTCTTTGTGTAACTTCGTTTTTGATGAAAAGGCTGTTTTGGATCTCCGCCGTTATGCCATGCTAGTAGCCTTAACCCCTTCTCTATGGCAAATATACATGTATTCTTTACAGGTATGATATCATCTTTCGTTTTCAGGAAAGTCTCGGGGAGCAACATTGGTAGCAGCGGAAAACGATCCCGATCCTAAGGAATATCCGTCCTGCTTTCTACTACTTGGTGCCAAACAGCAGCAGAGCAGAGGAAGTACACATGCTGTAAATGGGAGGATCTGTGATGACCGCCAACAGAAGGGCTGGAAGTGACATCTACCCTCGGCAGCTGTCCCAGCCCCGTGAGCTGCAAAAAAGCTATCAACAGCTGAAGTGACACTAGTCATGAACCTTCTGGATGGGTTTATTAAGGAGTTCTACACCGTCCCTGCATAGTTATCAAGCATGTGAAAACTCAATACCTCCTCCACTTCTCCATCACCTGTGTAGAACCCAGATGCACATGGCCTGCAGCAATGAAGTGAGAACAACGCTGCTAAGAGGAACAGATGCGATGCTCTACTCCTAAGGAACTCTATTGAAATCCGTTTATTGCTATATGACTCTGCCTTTGGGCCAGTGTTCCCATGACTAGTTATGGACAAATTCAGTTCCCATGCACAAGAAAACTCCAGATTCAGCAGAACTTCCCAGAGGTACCAGTGACGTTGCGGTCAAGTACCTTCTCAGCTGCGTGGAAATGCGATTACTGGCGGGGTTGAATCTTGAGTGTTTTTTACCACCACCAATCACGTTGACTCGGTAGAAAGGCAAAGAGCACTGACGAAAACGTTGCTCAAAAGAGGGTTGTGCCATGTAATGCGTTTGTTGTTTGTGTAACTCGTGTTTCGTTAGAGAGGTCACTTGTGTGCTCCGGCATTGTGCCTTCGCCGATTGGGCTGGCATCCGGGCCGTGTCAGTAGCCCAAAGTCCCACTTTATGTCGAACATACATATTCTGCCCGAGTGTTAAGCCTTCCTTATTCTTCAGGGAAGTCGCGAGGCGCTACAGCTGTAAGCAAGCTATTAATTCCTAACAAATTGTGAACTGGATGCATTTGAGAACCTTCTCAGTGAACAAAGGGTTTATCGTCATTTAAAGAGAAAAATTGCAATGGTAGGTGCCGAGAACTCTATAACAGCCCCGCCTATGATGTGATAGAGAAGTCCTGCTCGTGTAAATAGCTTTTTATCTTCTGTCGCCACTTCCATCAAATATCCCCAAATATCGAAAAATGCGATAATGGCTTTGGTTATATTTTTAAAATTAACTCCATTTACCTTCCATAATAGGATTTTCCGAAGCATCTATCTGAGTGTGAGTGAAAACTAATTCAAATGCCAACAAATAAACCACGGCTCGACGAATCTCCCTATCAAGTCACTAAAAGATAAAAAAGTCGTCCAGTTTTACTAGTTCAAGCGACAAGGTTCCCACCACCTTCCTATTGAGTACTTTCTCGACACAAATTACGACCAAGACATTTGGGCACCCACCCATGGCGTGAACAAAGAGAAGGGTGTAGAGAAAAAAAATGTATTCAATAAAGCTAATATGGCGAGAATTAGGGGATTTGTAGATAATTTATTGATTCATTCCTCTTGGAAAAAAGTGGTTAAGTGAAAGTTTTGATTAATGTATTGGGAAGGGGACTAAATTTTACAGAATTTTACAGGAGTATTGCAGATTTTAAATGTCCAGTGAAATATTTCACAATTGTTATTGAGTGTACATTCAAAATGGCTGTTTAGTGTGCGAAATTGCGACCGAACTGATTTTCAAATGGGAGTAAAATCCATTTGAGACCTCCGTCCCTGTAAGGTTTCACAAAGAAGGTCCTTCCAGACCGCCAAGATCGCGTGAGCCTTCCTGTTATAGAGCACAGGTGTCTCTAAAATGCACAATATACACGCGCGATAAAATATATGCACCTTAAATTATCCGGCTCTAACTTTATACTAGAGTTCAGTGGATTGCTTCCAAACCACCACTTAAATAAGTTCGATCTTTACTCGCTAGTGTTTTGATTTCCGTATCAACGTCTCACCTGTCTCACTGAAACGCTGAATAGATTGTGAAAAGCGCCCATTGGAAGTGGACAAGCTTACTTTGCTAACGCCTGGAAGGCTTCGATAACTGGAGATGAAGCCTTTACCACCTACAATAACCACTTTACATCACAGCCGTTCACATGAAGTACCTGACAGAGGTCACCTCTCTACTCATCATGGATCACTCCAAATTCATCATAAAGTCTGCTCATCGTTATCCTAACTAAAACTCGAACAAAACACTAACTCTTCTTTGAAAAGAAAGTACCGCACAGAGCTTGATGTTTAAACAGTTAAGCTTGTCCCTATTCTAGTGCCCCCCCCCCGCAGTTTTTTAAATTCTTTTGGTTATTGATAACTAAATTTAGCTAAAGTTATTACAGCCATATTTAATAAATAAAATAAAAATTAAATGAATCTGGCCTCATTTTGCCGCAGACGGCTGCGCCGATTATCGTCGGGTTTTCTTTATCGAGAGATCAATGGGTTGGGTCTGCTCCGGCGACACAGGCCTTGGTCTTTGGCGCTGTGGGCGATGGTGATGGTTTGAGAGATTGGACAATGGATGAAGCAGTGGATGGCGGGGACTCGAAGGTGCCCGTTGCTGTCGGAGATCTACGAAAGCGCTGCGTTCGCTAGTGGATAGCGCTTCATTTGCCGAGTGTACATGCAGATGGGATAATTGCTGCTGAAGTATCTGCATTTGAATATCAGAGTCAGGTTGTGGGTTTATGTCCCCCGCTTGGAGTCCAGTAAATAGATGAGGTGATATGGGGAAGCGGTGCGTTAAAAACTCTCGGAAATGGAAAATGGGCATCTGGATTGGAGCCTCTGGTATAAGTACCTCGGATGAAGTGGTCGCTGGAGTTCGGATAGGGTGTTGACTTAAACGATTAAGCAGTGCAAAAGCGGTTTCCCGATTGCTAGTTGTTGGTGTACTAGTTAGGTCTGTGGGATCTTCTAGAATAAAAAAAAAATTAATTATAGATGGACAAACAAGGAAAGAGAAAGATTATAGCCACTCCACTCACGTTGATGTAGGCGCATATGTGTTTTCAAGGAGCTTTCCTGTGTGTAGGACTTATTGCATAGACAACAGACGTATGGTTTAACACCTGAAAGAGGTATCGAGTTAGAATACAGAAAAAAATAATGCGGAATGAGAGTGAAGAACGGAGAACTCACCAGCATGGATGATTTTGTGATTGTTGAGACTACGTTCGATTGCGAAACCCCGGTTGCATTCACTGCATCTGAATGGCCAATCTCCCGTATGGCTATATTTATGTCTCTTCAGATCTCCCGGCGTTACAAACGCCTTGGAACACATGTCGCAACGATGGCGACGGACCTGTTTTAAAGGTGGTGAAGTAGCACTCAATTAAACAAATTTCCTACTAAAGTTAGTCAAATAAATACTTAGGAAATCCTTCGACTTCATCACGAAAGCGTTGTTTGCAACATTTACTTCCCTGTTTTAACCAGCTTCTTTTGTAAACAAAATTCTCTAGCTTTTTCATAAGCTTCTACCCCCAGAGCAACTTACGTTGGAATGTGTATACACATGAAAGATGTAGTTGGAACCAGCAGCAAATCGGCGTCCACAAGTTCTGCAGACGTAAGGTTTGTCTCCAGTGTGTATTCTTTCATGAGTGTTGACACCACTACGAGTAGAAAAAGCCTTGTTACAGTATTGGCAAGGAAAAGGACGCTCTCCAGTATGACTGAGGATGTGTCGATGGAGAAGAGATGGTCGGTCGAAGGTCTTATTGCAATAGGGACATTTGCGATCCTTCCTTTGGGGACGTCTTGCTCCTCTTGTATTGTTTGGCACAGAATCAGATGCTGACATGGACGCTGAGGTGGAGGTGACAAAACTCGTAGCCTCCGCAACGTTCGAAATACTCTCTTGCGGCACTACCAATGGCACTACCGCATCACGAGTATTCAGTGGGGTGGAAAAGTTATTCGGTAAGTGGGCCTAAAAGTAGGAAAGGTGCTGTGAAGCATATAGTTTGGATAAAATCCAGAAGTAGGTAAAGCAATACTCACCCCTGTCGATTCAGGACTCCTTCGAGAGGAAGGAAGTCCCGATAGGGATGAAGAGAGCTGAGAGACTCCAATGCCACTGTCTAAAAGAGTAAATTTTTTTCACACTAATTTAAGACACCACTAAACTAAAATGATAAGTAGCTTACCTTGAACTTCACTGCTATCCTCTATCGTTTTGGGCATCTGATCAAGGGGGAGACGTGTGGACTCGGGGAAGGACTAAAATAAAGACAAGGTGTTTACTTAGCTGGATGGCTATGTGTCACACGTGGATTCGTGTACAAAGGGAAGTTAGGTGCATCCAGTTCGCGCCGATTGTTATCACTACTTTATTAGTGTTTGTTGTTTAATTCCACTCCTTTAACCCCCTCCTCTCCGTCCTTCTCCATGAAATAACACTGCCTCTTTAAGTACAAAATATTCTTAAAGGCAATCTTTTCTTAAAGACAACAGACCCGAAAAAGCAGCATAGGTGGGGCCGAGTGAGGGTAAAATTAGTTCTCTATTTTCTCTAAAACGTTATTGATTAGACCTCTTCAATAGGGCGCCAAGGCATAGGCTACGGCATGACTGCCCAATTAAAAAAGGCCATGTGAACTACTTTTACGTAGCCTACTGCAAATCGGAGCGGCTAAAGTACACCCATTGTGGCATAAAGGATCATCCACTCTCAGTCACTCATTCGCTCACAAACACGCAAACGGCATTGTAAGGCTGTCAGGGTGTGAGACGTGTCGCTAGCAGGGTTGAATCGTTAATATCTGAGTTTATGTTTGGAAAGTGAAAATATCGTCTCTTACGCTAGCCTCCAAGCTCATCATGTGCAGTTGCGAAATTCAAGCAAAGAATTGACCACGCCATCTACCATTGAATTAATAAAAAAGGGGTTTTAATCCACTTCTCCTCTGTTCACTCTATAATTCTTCCTCAAGGGGCTGTTTCTCTTCCCTTAAGCTCAGTTAAGGAAGAGGGTAGACTAATAGACCACTTTAAGCTCCTCTCGATGATTTCTCAAATGCCTTCTTTTTTAAAGATTTTCCTTAGGTTTTGAACACGCAAAGTCCGACATTTGGTTTCCCTGTTTCAGAACAAGTCGATCTGATCATATGACACGATTTTTATAAATGGATATAGGATCTGCAATCAGAAACTAAATGAGAAGCGTGGGGAGCTATTAGCAGGAGGATCCCCTCCCCCTTCTCTGCCAAATGGCGAGGGAGGAGGGACATTTGTGGATTCACCTATCATCACGTGCTGGTTTCGACCCCCCACTGAAGTGGAAGCGAAACCCAGCCATTGCATCCAATACACCGATTGGTCGGTAAAATCGTGAGAAAGGCAGGGTTCAGAGCTTGCATACATTTGTGCTGCACTCTCCTGACCGTGGGAGAGATACGTCAGATATAAGATAACAGTCAAAATGAAACACGCGTCTGGGACAACATTATCACTACGAAATAGACGAGGTGAGGGGTCGCTGTCAAAAATGAATTCACGCATGGTCTATTGTCCCGACCTCATAAAAACTCTCCCCCTTGCCTTGGCATAGCAACATTGCCCAGCTTCGCCCATTGAGGACGTGGCAGAGGTGATCGTGAATGAGTATGACTACCATTTCCCCATTTCAATCAGCCTAAGAGACAATCTATGGTGCGAGGAAGGCTTTTTGGGGACCTCAATCCCTAGGCCAGCATATATTTTTTATCAAAGGTTCTTACAGTATCGTCATTTCATTTAGCACAATTTTTTGCCTAGAGGTATTAGTGGTCTACTGTTCCCATGGTTAATTCTGCTTTGTATTATTTTTGAAAGTATGTTGATATCTATAAAAATTTATTAAAGGGAGAGTTAGGTGATTCGTATGTTTATGGAGTAAGCAAAAAGTTTGTGCGATAACAAAAAATGACAATAATATTTAAACTCTTGCAGAGAACTCCCTAAACTATTTTATTTGTTGGAATAGTCGCCAGCGAAGATCAAAAATAATCTCTTACCTGTCGAACGAATTTAAAAATTACACTTCCAATAAGCATTTTATCTCTAAAAGCAACCAACACTAGCTCCAGTAGCCTAATTTACCTCTCACTTGATTCAATACCGTCAAAGAAAGGGTAGAACTCAACCATAAATGGTTGCACTTCATCTGGAATTTCATTGTGAAATAATTCACCTGCAGTGTAACAAGCAATCTCCCCTTATGAAAATCATACATCTATCTTGACTTTGCAAGATCTATCGCCAAAATCAAAAAAGAATGATCCTTTTCCTAATGCTAAATAAGAGGCCTTATGAGTATCCTCTTCAGCCACAACTTTGAAGGCGATTTAGACTCCATTCATAAGGCAGACAAATTGGAGCTATATCCATCACGTTTAACTGATGTGTTAAAATACTAGAGCACAAGAAAGCTTGCTGATTTATTTCGCATGTAAAAAAAGCACATGCATTATACACGTTTCTGAAAGTTGAAACAAGGCATTATAACAGTACACTCTTTGATCACCTGATGCATTTGGCATAAATGTCCGAGGTTTGCATTCATTATTTAAACGGACTTCCAGGCAAAATACGTGGTCCAAATAAGGCTTACATTGATTAAATTACTTAATGTAAAGAATAGCAATTTACTTAAAAGGACCAGACGTGGGAGAATAAGTTTCTCGGAAGCAAAAACTGGAATGGATAAAGAAAAAAGCCAGCACGCACCTCTCTAGGATTAGGCATATGAGGGTCCGATGTTAGAATCGACGATTTGTCTGATCCAGGACTTTCCATCCTACGACGCACAGGCAACAACTCAAAGGCGAAGCTGTAGTGATATAAGGCTTATTTATACTCAATCTCTTTGACCAATGGGAGAGCTGCGAGTGGCCGGGGGTCTTACCCGACTTCACCCTGCCCTATATATTGGCCTATTAGGCACAGTTGCGATGCTCGATTCTCATTGGACGGTGCACTATACGTTTTATAATGTAAAATAAGTGGATGCTTGCCTCTTAATGTTAAAAAACACGAAATTTCTTTCAAATTCAACAATGTAAAACACGCCTGTGATTGACTTATTTATTATGAAAGAGATGAGTACCTTAAACACGCTTAACTCGCACATAATGTAGGTTATGGCGCGAATGCCCCACTTGACAAAAATAGAATTGATCTTATGTCAAAGTAATGGCTAAATCGCACCACATTCAGGTTTTTAAACAAGTGTTGTGATGGTTCGGTTTTATTTCAGTCTGATTAGGGTGTGCTTCCGGATCGATGTTAAGACTTCATCTGTCAGAAATTTGCCAAATTCACCCATTAACTGAAGACCCTATACACAGTGCTAAGAAAGTAGAGCAGGTTGCCTGCAGTAAAATTATTATCATCTAGACTTTAAGAAAGCAAATTATTACTGTGTTTGAGGATTTCGCCATAGCTTAAGTCACATGCAGTCAATTCCCAGCGTCGATCAGTTATCACAGCTTTCCACAGAACACCTCATAACACCAGAAAGAAGGCAATTTCTGTTAAGATATTGCTTGGAAATACCCTTTTTTTATCTTTTCAACAGGCCATGTCGTTAGTAAAGCCGAGATGATAGGTAGTTATCCACTCACACATCGTACTCTTCAACTTAGTTAAATGAACACCACATACATCCCTTACAACGTAATGAGAATGAAGAAATTGATAAGTCGAATTTTTTATGATGTTCATTAGCTGTGGTGCACTCTACAACTTCTGATAAGTGATATTTGTGGCAAAGTAATTTTTGTTAATGCCCAAAATGATGATAGCAGACGGGCGTTGCTCTGGATTTTTTATTAAACTACTTGAAGAATTCATTTGCCATTACGCTAATCATTATTTAGCATTGCTTGTACTCGAGTGAATTACTCGTTCATCCTACGCCTTACATTGCGCATTCAGTGGTGAGGGGCGTCACCCTCATATCATACATCTAATTTAATAATAGGATATCTTAACCCTTTTAAAAATCATGCGCATTATTATTCCATCGGCCTAAGTATCTGCACGCCTGGAACTGTCACAATAATTGATAAGGTAATCGACCACTGCCTGATTTTCAGGCTAGAATTTAAGCGTGTAAATAACATGTCATTAATTGTGGTGCTTTAACAAAGAATAGTTCACAGAATCACTGTTTACACCTGGCATTCAAACTCACCAGGTGGCTAAAGAGCGTTCAAGTCAAACTAATGAGTCCACTCTTAAAGATACAAAAGGCAATGCTACCGTGTCGGTAACGTATTTAGGAGTAAGAAATCAGTCCACATTTACTCACGATGGCAGGCAGCGGTGGCAATGCCTGCATGTGGCAGCGTGTGGTTTAAAATCAGGGTTAATGGGAATGAATGCGGTGAAGCACAACCTGAGGGCATTCACAGAAGCCTTCAAGCACAGTGCGGTGGTGAGACGCTTGTCCCCTCAGCAGTACGATGCCTTAATAGTGTAAGCGTTTCTAATGCCTCCCTACGCCTATGGGTGATTGGGATCACAGCCGTAAGGATTCCAGCCAACATTCTTGGCAGTTGTTCAACCCTGTGGAACGCCAGATCGACAGATATGCTATCCTTAAATCGCACAAGAGAGGAGCTGTAGGCATGATTTAATAGTTCATGAAGGTCTGCATAAGTGGTCAGGTTGTCTCAAGATAGTTCAGCCTAACCGACAAATATTTTTATTTTGACGTCTTCCTGGACTCGGATGATAGGCAAGACGTGTTTTCATTGGTCCGACTATTAAAGTCTTCCTCTATCGAACTACAGCCCGGAGAGAATGGTGCCCTCAATTCCTATTACGAATACCAAAGCCTATACGATTGGGGCCAACTTCCCATGCGCCTTACGCATCAGGAGTAATGAACAGGAAACAGCTCAACTATGGAATATAATCCCCGTTAGTATTTGGCCATACCTTGATTACGATGTCCCATGTGTTTATGGTGCACCAGTTTTGTACTGTGTGGCAGGTTCCTATTAAAACTACTTCAGAATATACTCAAATTAGTGGGCATCCTAAAAGAACGCGTCTTGGGGTATTAAATGCAACAGATGAGAGTCTAGTTAAGAGGGAAATTAATTCGCATAGTGCAAATTTCATCATTTGAAAATGAAGCTGTGTGAGGTATCTCTAGATCAGGTAAAATCTTAACACCACTTGCCGATAATCCACATTCTTTTATAATGCCTGGAGATTGGCCGTATAATTGCAACCGCATACTTTTGGCTCCTCCGTGATCACTTTAATGGCTGCTGTGGATGTATCAAGGGGTGAAGTTTGTACTGTTTTCCAACTATGATCATTCAACCTTTAACGCAGCTGATATGGGATTAAAGGTGTTTGCAAATCGTGACAAATAACGCACGACAGCCGATAACAAAAGCAATAAGGTGCTAAAATAAAATTACAGACATAGACATGCCCTGAAATGCGTAAGAAAAATAGGGAAGGTGGATTAATATTTCATAAACGTGAGTAAACATGACCTTAGCCTTGAACGTTTGCCCCGATTTTTTGTGAGAGGTGATGTTAGTAAGACATTATCACGTGGATATGATGAACCAGCTCAACATATCTATCCATCTATTTATCTGGTGACATCGAAAAGCGATATCACAAGGTGGTATAGCAACCTGAATGACATGACAAACTATAATCTCGTTTATTTTCCACTACTCCATCATCATTTTTGTATCCTTGATGGGAGGATGTTGCTAATATTAATATTATATTGAACCCGGATCCCATGCGTGGGGTAGTCTGAGGCCTTTTGAAAGGGTTAAAATATAGAGCCCTGGCTACCATCGTTTCTAAGCCGTGACCCCCACTGAATGGACCATACTCACCCGGTGGATCACGTTCTTCTCCCACCTCAAAAACACAGGGCTGATATAATTATAGGTTTATTGAAAAACAAGGTGAAATTTTGGTACTATAAGTACACACCCTGTCGCTATAGCCACTTGCGGTGCTCACCGAAATTTCTGTTCGCAAGTCATTTCCTAAAAATATGGCTACAGTGATTTCTTCACTTCTCTTTCTACCTTGTAGTGGCACAAGTCCTATAATATCCTCATGAATTCGCTCCCTAGACACAGTAAAATCCTTTTTTTACGTTGAAGAGCAAATAACTTTTATGCTAGAAAAATCATTCATTTGTTATGGCAAATTTCTCTTACGAAAGGAGTCATTTAGTCTAACGAACATTTAGAATGAAAAAAAGGGCAATGAAATACGATACAGTGTTAACCACCAACTTGCTTTTGATGGAGCATCAAAAAAGCACCACTTAAGGTAATAGTCATTCTTTGCTTAACCATTTACTTCCAGTAATTTTCCTTGCGTTCACGATTCTTAAAAGTCAACGGGTGGCAGTCTGATTGATAAGGCTTGACTTATTAAAGTATAACACTTGGGCACATCTGTGGTAGTTACTAAGCCAACCCCAATGAGGGGATGACTTTTCGCTTCATGAATTGAAGCCTTGCGGTACGTGCGTTTGACCTGCTATTTGGGATGGTTACTCGAATGAAATGACACAATCGTGTCATCCCCCGCAACACTGTATTCAAGTCTATTTGATGGGAGGTAAATTTCCGTCAACGGTGTTGCAAGGTTAATCATTGGACAAACGAAACCTTTATTCAATTCTATGGAACAATGACTGGGGAAGTCAAATGCACAATCATTTCCACCTCCATAACCCACTCTAGCCATGTAAGGTTTGGGTTGTTGCCATTTCCTTCATACAAAAGCAACGATTAACAGAATGTTATTTTCTTAATCTGCTGGTGTCATAACCAGAACGTGCCAAAATGTGTAGAGATGGTTGACCTGCCACCGTAAAATAAGCATACCTTCACGCGGTGAAACTTATTTCACTTTTAATCATATTATAATCAGAACATGGCTTAGCAATGGGGGATTAATGTCGGTAAATATGGATGTGGTGTACATTTTTTGTAGGTAAAACCCTTAAAATTCGAAGTAAAAATCGCTCATGCAAAAGCCAAACAATAATGAGAGATGTTGCTTGAATCTGATAGGTCCTAGCATTGGCTGTGTTTGCTGAAAAGCTCAATATTTCCAGCAATGTCTGATATTTCACGATATTCTTTTGTAGAAAAGGAAGTATTTTGATAGAGATCAGAAGTCGCTTTTCAGATGTGAAGTACGAAGGATCCAGCTACAATGGCGAAATCAGCGCTAACGCTTGTTCCCCTAATGGAGTGGTGCAAATGATGTCCTCAGACCTGATGCCTTTGTGTTGAGACCACGCAAAGCGAATTAGCTTTTCCTCAGCTTTAGCTCTACGTCGGCTTTCTACTGAACATCCCATTTTAAATGTTTACGGCACTATTCAAAATCATCCAAAGCAGTAGATGGCATAGTCACATTTTAAGCTTTCACCTAGAGTCGGTGTCCAGGGTGGTCATGTATTAACCAAATTTCCATTTTGTAAATCGGAGACACCGATATCCAAGTGAGTCCATGCTCACCCAGCATCTGGCTTTAGTTTTTATCTAAGGACGGTAGTCTGTTGGGCATTGTCCCTGGGATCACCATTAGGGTGGCTTTGGCTTGGTGACTCAGGAATAGTGAATCCCCCTATTATATCAGTCTTGATGGGTGAGTCATGGACAATGCCCTATGAACAATTAATTGTTGTTTATTTTTCGAGCCGCTAAGTCATCTATTCCTGTGTGAAGCAACCTGACCATGTAAAAGTGTCCAATCAAAAGATCACAAGAGTCGTAGACCAAGAT